TTTGAGATAAAGTGTCACTATATAGTCCAGATTAATCTCAAACTCACAACCCTCCTGACTCAGCCTCCCAAGCACTGGGATCTCAGGCACGTACTACCATGCCCAGCTTGTGATTATTCTTTATTTCTATTTTGCAAATGAAGATACTGAAGCTTAGAGGGGTGGAAGAATTTGACAGAAATACATATTGAGCATTGTGACTCAAGGCTCCCACGTGTCACAGGGCGGAAATACTGTCTGCAGTCTACCTTAGTCACTCCAGAGCTATCTACTTGCCTGACTTCAAAGGATATTCTTTCTTTCTTTCTTTCTTTCTTTCTTTCTTTCTTTCTTTTTTTTTTCTGTGCCGGGGACCAAACTCAGGACCTTGTGCTTGCCAGGCAGTCACTTATGCCACTAAGCTATATCCCCAGCCCTTTACTTGCCTGACTTTGGGGTATCAACTCTGTCTTCTCTACAAGAGATCAGATAGCATCGGCAGCACTGGCTTTGGTATGTGTTTGAGAGAGAGAGTAAGAGCTCACACTTGTGGGGAGCACTAAGAAAGGTTCTAAATCCCAAAGAGGATGAGTCTGGAGGATTCTGGCCTTGAATATTGCAAGTAAGAGTGTTTTGCAAAGATAGAGGTGTCTCTGGTCCCTTCCTATGGTGCAAGGAGATCGAGGCCCACTAGGGGGCAGCAGAGAATTAGCAGGTTACAAGCAAGGTCCTAAGGGCGAAAGCTATACACCTGGGGCAGAAGTAGCAAAGCCATTGGAGCTGGGGCTGAAGGGGTGGGGTGGGGTGGGGTGTAGATTCATAGCAACCATTTATTTTATTGTTGCTAAGCACATTCTGGGTCAGATACTATACCAAGAAGGAAACACTCAACTCTCACAATGGACATTAGCCCCACTGTTAGCCCACATGAGGCTTTTCAGAGGTTTCTCAAGCATAGTAAAGTTTTGCTCAGGGGCTCACAGATCCAAGAGGTGAAGTTCAAGCAGTTTGGACTCAAGCCTCTGGAGTTAGCCAGGGAAAAGCCAGCACTCACCTGGAAGTGCTGCGGCTGGGAGCTGGTTGGGAGCAGGTAGGACCTGACCAAGGCTGGCTGGGGCTCGAAGCCTAGGCAGGGAGACTTCTGGGGGCCTCAGGAGACAGGGTGTGACTAGACCTTCAGGTTGAACCTTCCATGAACACTTCCTTGAAAAAGTGGCTCACAGTTTATCTTTGTCACGTGACCCTGAAGGATGGGGCAGCCTAAATGCCACAAACCAAAATTCCAAGGGGATGTATGTGAAAAATCTGATCAGGGTTGTCTGCCTGAGTTTTCTTTTCTTTTCTTTTCTTTTTTTTCTTTGGTTAAATTTTATTTATTTATTTATTTGTGTGTGTGTGTGTGTGTGTGTGTGTGTGTGTGTGGCCAGCTCAGCCCTCCAGGGGGCGGGGCTGGCTGGCATGTGGTACTGGGGGATTGAACCGCGGTCCCTGTGCTTTGCCAACTTTGTTCTAAGTAGGTGCTTTAGACCACTGAGCCATCTCACCAGCCCTACCTGAGTTTTCAAAAGGCAAACTAGCCGGTGAGCTGGTAACCTGACAGGCTGGAGTATGGGCAGCATGCTGACTCGGCATGGACCCCTTCTGGGGAACAGGATGATGACAGCTGCCGTGCTGTCGCCACCATGAAGAATGCAGGCACCCTCAAGTTCCCTCAATCAACTCACACCACGGGAGGGAGAGCTTGTGCAGGGAGTCTGATCGGTAGCTTCCACTGCCACCAGTTATCCCTGGGCCCATGCTAGTTGAAGAGTCCAGCCTAATGCAAACCTGGGGCTTCTCGGCTCAAGACTGGTGCCTTCCTTCCAGGCATGTCGTCATCAGAGCTTGCTGGGAGTCACCAGGCATAACTGACTGGGTTGAATTTGCTTTCTTCAAATCTTCTGACACCAAAGGCTGTATTCTTCTCAATTTATGTAGAAAATCTCCTGAGCTAGCCTCAGTTCTGGGATCCCAGACTGCTTTATGGTTACTGCGGTACCTCAGGGCTTTGCAAGGGTTGTTCTGTCTGAGGGGACTAGGGAGATGGCTCAGTGGAATAACCGCTTCCCTGGCAAGTGCAAAGGCCCAAGTTCAATCCCTGGTTCCGCCAAAAAAATAAAAATAAAAACAAACAAAGAAATATCTTTAAAAAAAAGAAAGAAAAAGAAATCAGAAACACACACACACACACACACACACACACCCCAAAAAAGGGTTGTTCTGTCTGAGATGCTCTTCTTCCACCTGTTCAGCCCCGCCCCCCACTCCAGTGCATGGGGATTGACCGCAGGCCCTGGCGTACGCTAGGCAACAGGGCTGCTGGGCTCCACTGCTAGCCCTGCTTCCTCCACCTTTTCATGCCTGCTTCCTTCTGATTTAGATGTGTTTAAAATTTCCCCCTTGGGGCTGGGGAGACAGCTCAGAGAAATAAGCGCATGCCTGGCAAGTACAAGATCTTGAGCTTGGCCCCCGAACCAAAAAAAAAAAAAAAAAATTGACCCTTCTTTCATTTGTCACTTGCCATTTCCAGTGATGACAACTCCAGGATCATTTCCAGGAGGCTGGTGCAGCCCTCACACAGGGCAGCTCTCATCCGTAGCCCCAGGTAGGAACCGGAAAGTCAGAGGATCTGAAAGGCTCTCTGCCCTGGATGTCATGTGGTCATTCAGCCCCAGTCCTCCGCTAGTGAGGACTCTCATACTCCTTACTTTTACTGCGGGTTTTGCTTTGTTGTTTTGTTCACAGCAACAAGTGACTATTGTGTTCCATAAAAACGCTTGTGGGCTATATACTTATGACTCGTAGGGTAGAAGCAGCCCTGATTTGTTAGATTTTTAACTGGGTCATATTCCATCTTGGAAAAGAGAATTTCATAGTCCCTTGGAAATGGATGGAAAGCCGCTGCTGCCAGTAGACGGCCAATCCCAGGGCCAGCACGAAGAACTCAGGAGCCCAACTTAGAAGATTTCAGGGATCTTCTAATTTTTTTCTTGAATATGAGTGTAGGACTAGATTATCTTCAGACCTGAGCCTACAGTCTCTTAAACTCTTTGAGGGAGAGATGAGAGGAGACATAGGGCTCCTGGTTAAATCTGGATTTCAGACAAAGAAAAACAACTTTTTTTTTAATCATATGTCTTGATACAGTATGGGAGACATTTATATTAAAAAATCATGGGACATAGTTACACTAAAAAAACTATTGTCTATCTGAAATTACAGCCTCGCTGGGATTTCTATGTATTTTATCTGGCCACCCTACAGAGGAGGGTTAGCATGTAACAAATGGATTCCTTTAGGATGAAGCTTGCAGATCAGGGAAAACAAGGAGCACAGTGAGCTGTGATTTTCTTTTTTTTAAGGGTGAAATGAAGTTGGTTTCTTTCATGCCAAATAAGCAATCACAGACGACTCCATCCGGAATCCAAACTCATGACTATCATGGGACTCCAGATCAAGAAAAAAAAGTTTTTTTTTGAAGATTAAGAGTCAGAGAAGCAGTCTTCACACACACACACACACACACACACACACACACACACACACACACACACACTGAAGTGAACTGAAGTGAAGACCAGTCAGCGAGTGAGGGGCAACTTGTCAAGGAAGGTAAGAACATCCCTTCTCCCAGAATCTTAGTCTTGTTCTCCCAGAGCAGGATTTGGAGGTGCTGTGGGGCTTTCCCAGTTCCCCAGGGCTTCACTGTCAGCAGGATTTCTCCTCAATGCTTCTAAACCTCCAATCTCTGAGGGCCCGCAAAGCCTCCTTTAAAGTCTCTCAGTCCTCTGTGACTGCTAACAAGAACAGCAATTATTCCAGAGATTGTGTGCTGGTGAGGGCACATTCCCTGTGTAGGGTTTTTTTTTTTTTTTTTTTTTTTCTTTTTTCATGGTCTAGCTATGTAGTTCAGGTTAGCTTTGAATTCACTAATGTAGCCCAGGATGGCTTCTAAGTCACAGTGCTCTTTCTGCTTCAGCCTTTCAGTGCAGGGATTACAGGTATGTGTCACTTCTCCCCACAGGCCTGCTGTATTCTGTCACTTGAAGGAGCACTTCTCTTGGTTTGAGGGTAAGAAGACATTTGCTTTCCCCACACTGTTTCCCCAGGCTCTGAGCCTGAGCTGTAGATGTACAATTTAATGCAGAATTGAGTTTGTTGCCTATATTTTGAACAGAGGGCTTATCACCATATTATCCACCTGAGATGATCAATGAGTTCAACTGTATTTTTTTTAACAATTGTAAAGGATAATTACACATTAAGTGGTCCCAAGACGTTACATGGTGAAATTCCACACTTTGTTCTCCCATCCTCCTTGTTGTTCACATTGGAGCTCATTAATATAACTGTGTGGGGATCAGAACTTTAATAGTCACAAGGAATGTACAAGGGGAGAAAAATGCGCAATAGCAAGAAGAGGGGCTTCTGCTTTTGACTTTTAATGAGCTCACTTTTATCATGATCACTATGGTTCAGGAGTTTGTTGTTGTTATTGTTCATTTCTATGTATTACAGTTTCTTTCGTTCTTTTTTCTTTCTTTCAACTCAGCCATAAGTCTTGAATGGGAGAGAAGCAGAAGTTGATATAGGTGGGAGGGAAAATAAGCTGTTAGACATTGTCAGGTCCTGGGCTTCCAGGGCTAATTTTGGGTGATGTGCTTGTACAGCGTGATTTCCCTTGCTGGAATGTGAACCTGGTTTATCTTTTGTTTTTGGTACCGGGGATCGAACTCAGGACCTTCCACTTACCAGGCAGGTTCTTATGCTGCTGAGCTATCTCCCTGGCCCCCTGGTTATCTTTTAAAGCCTGTGTTTGCAACACATAATGGATGTATTCACTGTGGGCGGCTGGTGCATGCACATGTCACACCCTAGTCATTTTTATTTTCCTTTCCCCAAGGGATGCTGGGCTGGGTGCCTCATGCCCCATATCAGACTCTAGAAAACATGTACCTTACCATAGCCTTCTGTTTGTCCAGTAGTATACCAAAGTGCAACTTGTGAAAGAAATTACTCCTGTTAACCATTGCTCTGGGTCAGGCAAGGTAGGGAATGCATGCAAAGTCTATAGGATAGAGGTAAAGTAAAAGTAAATTAGGACAGCCAGATAGCTCAGCAGACTAAAGCGCCTGCTTAGGCAGACTATAGTGGCTGGGGTTTGATCCCCAGTATACCATGCCAGCCTCGCCCCTGGGCGCACTGAGATGGTGATTGAGACTGGGTGTGGTGGCGCGTGCCTGTAATCCCAGTTCTTGGGAGGTTGAAAACAGGACAATCACTGCAAATCCAATCTTTGTAGTGAGACCCTGTAGATTCTGTAGTAAATACAAAAAAAGAAAAAAAAAAAAAAAAAAAAAGAGTAAGAGTAATGAGTTCATGAGACACATGACCGTAAAGGTCAAGGAAAATTACTGCTGTGTGTGGTGGTGCACAGCTATAATCCTAGAATTCTGGAGGCTAAAGCGGGAGGATCACCATGATTTTTGAGGCCAGCTTGGGGTATATAGTGAGTTCAAGGCCAGCCTGAACTATACACTGAGACTGTCTCAAAAAGAGAGAGAAAAAAAGATTACTGATTCAAAATACTAATTGACTAAACATTCTCCCTTTCCCAGACCACCAAAATAGCCCAAACCGCTGGGTTCAGCATTCACTTCCTTTCCCACCTCTGGCTCCCATTTGCCATGGTCTTCCTCCTTCCTAACTAAACATTCCACACTCACCCAGGCAGGGCCTTAGATGCAACATACCTCCTGCACCAGTCTCATGGTGGAAGCCAGAGGAGTCACTCAACTGACAGTTGAGTGATGAGACCATTGGTGTCTTCCCAGAGCTTGGCTATTTTAGCTTGTTTTCTTTTCCTCTTTTAGCCTGTTTTCTGAGGCTTAGGACAAATGAAGGTCATGAACAGTTCAATGTATTAATTTTATTTTTAGGTACCAAGAATCAGTCTCAGGACCTCGTGCTTGCCAGGCAGGCGCTTATGCCACTGAGCTATATCCCCAGCCCTCAATATGTTAATTTTACACTTTGTTTTTTTCTGCAGTTTAGGGAAGTGTCTACAGGGTGTTCAGGGTCTCACAACTAGATAGGACTTGTAGTGATCCGCCTGTTTACAGCCTCCCAAGTGCTGGGATTACTGGCATGTGCCAGCATACCCAATCTCAATTGCTGTCTCAGCGCGCCCCGGGGATGAGGCTGGCACCGCAGAACCCAGGATTGAACTGCTGATCCCTGCTTGCAGGCACTTTCATCCACTGAGCTATTTGGCTGGCCCTTAAACTTTTTTTTGTTTTTGCGGAACCGGGGATTGAACTTAGGCCTTTGCGCTTGCCAGGCAAGTGCTTATTCTACTCTCCCACGGGGGAGCCATCTCCCCTACCCCCATTAAACTTTTTTAGTGGGGAATTTTTTTAAGCATGTTGAAAAAGAGATTAGTGTAACTTCCATGTGTCTACTACCTAGTTTCAGTAATTTTCAACTAATAGCTAATCTCCTAAATTGCCTTTTCTCTTCTGGATGGTTAAAACCTAAGTTTGCAGACCAAAATTAGAGAAAAAGGAGGGCTGCAAGAAATGCCAACATTTTGGCCCTAGCCTTCCAAGGTCAATTAAGACTCAGGACATATGAGAACTTGTACTGTAACGTCATGTAAATCAGTA